AAAATAGATTTCAAGACTTGAAATATCTTAAATCGTCCCTTGATTTTTTTCTGAATCCATTTGAAATTAACATAATTCAAGGTGAGTTTTCCATTTCCAATATAATTATGACCCAAAAAGCATCTGGAGAATTAGAATTAATAGAGATGCAAAAGATCAAGCTCTACAATTAAAATATAAGTCGACGGCGATTACTAAATTTTGGAAATTTGTACCAGAATCAAAGTATCCTGAATTTAAAAAAAATCTGCTTGTCAAATTATTTCAATATTTGGAACAATATACTTATGTGAATCATTTAATTCCACTTTAAAATTCTTAAAATCCAAATATTGATCAGTATTAACTAACCAGCATCTAAAAGAATTACTGCGAAGTGCTGTCACTAATTGTTCACAAAATTTGAAAGAATTATCAAGAGATGTAAAATAAATGTGTTTAATTTTTAATATTTAAATTTAATACACATATTTTGTATTTTTATTTATATGTTTACAGTAAATATAATTTCTGTAAAAAAAATTTAATACCTTTTTTGCATACCTTTTAAATACGTGTTTAATTGCGGCTTGCAAAAAATTTCAAATTTTGAAAAATGGCTCGGACTATCAAGGAGCTTGGCCATCCCTAGTATATTATATGCACAAATAAAAAAGTATTTTGAATAAGTAAAAAGAATATTATTGAAATTAGTAAGTCCTTTGAAATACATAATATAATATTTATGCATCTTTCTGTTTTCTTTTAAATGTGATATGTTTATCATTTAAGACATTTCATCAAAAACAGTATAAATTGCATATTTGACCCCTCCATGTTTAGTAGTAGTATTAAAGGGGGAGCAAATATGCAAGTAAATACAGTATATATCATGGTATTGTTACTTTAACATACATTTTCAATGTTCTTATTTATAACTTCATATACATAATTGTATTATGATTAATTAGATGACAGCCTTATATATGCACTCTGGATGACTTAACATGTTATAACTCAATATGTACTTTTTCACTGTATTAAATCAAAATAAATCATGTAAATGAGAAAATGGTTTTATTTAATTAAACTGTGTTAAATCAAAATTTTGTACAACACATTTACTTGAGAGTAAAATTGAATGTATGAATGACATATATCCTTATTTATAAAGAAAAGATGTGATTCATTTACTAGTATTCCACAATAAATAATTAATAATAAAAATCAAAAGTTAAACGGCATTGAAAATTTTGCTAGTTACAAAGTCCGTTAAAAAATTTGCAGTATTTTATAACACTTTTCTATTGTTTAATTTTTGCTGCTGTGTGGCTCAAACTTTTAAAAATATTGGGTACTTTTCTCCAAATGTCATCACCTCCTTTTCCAAAACCAAATAGAATATGTGCACTAAGATATGGTAGCCATCAATATAATTAGCAATTAAATTTTATTTTATGTATCTGAATTTGATAAGAAGATTATTTATTTTGCTATTTTCTGATTATACATATCCTCACAAAAAGTTGGTAACTTATTTGTGACTTTGGGAAAAATCTACTTATTTTTATGGCTCATTTTGTCAATTAACAGAATTGCTATAATCACAGGTATTGTTTTGTTTGTAAATAATAATAATTAAAAGTATTTGATAAGAAATTTTAAAAGAAGAAAAACAAAAGTATATATGGCTGATATTTACATTTTTTTAACCAATAAATATTGTTTAAGTGTTCAAATCTGAAAAGATCCAACATTTTTCCTCCATCAACTTGGTAAATTCCATAGTTTCATCATAATTCTGTATGCTTTATTAAAAAAAAACTGTACCTTAGAAGAGGCCATATGACAGTGAAAGTGTGTAAATCTACATGTACTCAATCACATCTGTCATGAGCACAAGCATGGTTTGGCTGTTCTCAAAAATATATAAAAGCATACTAATGTTGAAACCGGGGTTGTGTAAAGTCATTAAGCAAAAAAGTCATAATTTTGACTAAGTTTTAATGTTGCTAAGTAAATGCCAAATTGGGCAATTTTGTTGTTAGACAATAATTTTAATCCAATGATCTTACTTTACAGGGTACACAGTGTCAAGCTTGTGCGATTCTCCAATATTTCTTTAAGTTAAAATAGATAGCTGCATGCAGGACGAGAACAGTAGCAAAGTATCATATAATAAAAAGGTTAGTCATTATTTTAGGGTGCCCCTTGGATTATTGCCAAATTGTTGTTTCATTTACCTGAGCACCTGAATAGTTGAATGTTATGAAAACCATATTAAGACGTGATTGGTTGCATGACTGTGGTGAATTTGACTGATGGGAAAATATTTGTAAGGGCTTTTTTCTGCATTGGATGTCAGGAAGTACGTTGCGTATTTTGTGCTTCATCATAAAATGGCTGCCGGTGGTAAAGTGGTTGTTTGGTGGTATAGAACGACACAGCGGAAGGTGTTTTTTTTTTCTTGAAGTGGTTGAGGATGAAAGAAAAGAAACTTTGTTGGATATAATTCAGCAGAATATTTTACCTGGAACAATAATCATATCCAACTGCTGGAAGTGATTGTCTTTTTGATAATGTCTTCATTCACTTCTCAGTAATTCCCGCAATGATATTTAAGGATCCGGAAACTGGAGTTAAGGAATTCTGTGTGCCACAGACTGAAGACACATAAATTTCTAAATATGAAAACTTGATATTTTCTTTTTGCAGTGCATTTATGCGATAACATGTAGTTCCTTTTTGGGCTGTAGTGTAGAATTGGGTGCCCCTTTGATTAGCGACAAATTGTTTTTTATTTTGGTAATGAAACCTCATTTCTAGTTACCATGATAGTTTTAACTCCGTTTTAACTTCCTGATTTTTTTTGATTGATGTGTACATGGACACAGAGTTTGTGCAATTCTTTGACTTTTTATTCAGATTTTATGTAGCAGCCATCTTGAAACTGTGCCTTCCTGGTGCCGATCTTGGCATCAAAAAAGAATCGCCAAAAAACAAGGGGCAACCAATTGAAAACTTTTACCCCTTTTTTATGTTATTTTATTGTATGATTCAAAACAGTTTATTGAGCTTCGATAAGCTACAAATTTTGTTCAATTTTGCTGATGAGTAAATTTATTTTAACATTATATGACATCATCATTCTCCTGATTTTTTTAAGTGAAAATAGATCGATGTTTACCCGGACAAAGTCAAGGGAGAGCGCAATACCGAGTTTGAGCAATTCTCCGATTCTTTTTAAGTAGATTGATGTGTACATGAATACAGAGTTTGTGTAATTCTATGACTTGCTATTTTGGTTTCGTGTAGCAGCCATCTCGAAATTGTGCCTTGCTAGCCAATCACCAAGAAGCACCGAAATATACTTTTACCAATAAAAAATATATATAATGTTTGATGTATTATATAAGCCTTATTTGATAATTAAAATTTGTATTTTAGATATCAAAAATGTTGCTGAATTGTTGTATCTATGCTTTAGATATTTTTCTAGTATTTGTCAGCTTATGATTAATATCGATAGTCTGACAATCTTTGGAAAAAAATGTGGCCAAAATCACAAATGTAAGTAAAATTAGTAACTTTTATGATAATGTTTTTATTTTATTAAATCTTTTCTTAGTAAGGCAATATTTTAAATGCTTAAAATATAATTCCATTGTACATATTTGTTAAAGTGTAACGTTAAAAGTTAAGTATAGTGATAGAAAGATTTACATTAAGGCAAGAATAAATGATGCTAATAGTATTTAGGATGATAAGAATAACAGAGTGAAAATGTATTTTTGAAAGGGAAAAAAATAGAAACTCTTAAATCACATATGTATGAAATTGAATTTATAAGGTACTTCCTGACTATTCACAACCCCACTAATAACACGTGAAAAAATATGGGGAAAATGCAGAATCACCCACTGCTTGCCGCGTTTTTAAGAATTGTACATACTCGGTATGTACACATCGACCTATTTTCACTTAAAAAGAATCCCAGAATTGAACAAAAATGACATTGCGCCCTCCCTTGACTTTATCCATGTACACATCGACCTATTTTCACTTAAAATGTCAAAGAAAATTGACAAACATCCAATTCTTACTCTTGTAAAAACAATTCTTACTCTTGTAAAAAGCGCTAAACAAATAAGTGAGCGATTTTGCACTTTACACAAAAATACTCATAAGGCAAAGTATTATGTCGCCCAAATAATTATATGAAAACCTACATTAGCTTGGCAAAAAATTAGTCAGCAATGAGTTCATGACTTTTTGGCGAGATGTGCAGGTAATTAGACAGTACAAAAAAATACTAGATTAAGCCAAATGAAATAAGTTACTTCTATCAGGAATTTTTGTTTGTGATAAAAATATTTCAGGCTATGAAAATTTCAGGCAAATAGCTCTATTTTTTTTATCAAAAGTTCTGAATATTTTTCATTTATCATCAGTGCTTATGCCTTCATTTCTCATTTACCCTATATCTTAGAAATATTTTTAAAGGTCCAAAGTAACTTTACATTTTACACTAGTCTATTTCTAACCAAATTAAAATTAAATAAATTATTTGTGACTACTATCAAAATTCATATTTTGCTTGCCCAACATTTTAATATACTGCACATTTTTTAACTTAAGTTGCTGTAACCAGTATTTATTCCATAGCAAAATATAAGATTGTAAAAATGTTTAAAAAAAAAGTCTATGGTGAACATTAACAGAAATGTATCAAATGCTTTAAATATAAAATATAATTCAGGACAACTAGTTACATGCTTACCTTTCTTTACTTCTATATAACTACAAAGAAAATTTCAAAATTATTCAGATCTGCTAAGATATCTCTAATTAAGCAGTTAACTTGCTTAACACAAAAACAAAATTTTAACAATTACTACCCAACTAACAAAATATTGTTAATGATAGAAGTACTTTTTTAAATTATATAACTTTTCACAACACACATGAGAATTTAATACTTGATAAATACATCTTCCATATTGAAAGAAATAATATTTAAGTATATTATAATGTCATGTAATTTATTACACAGCTTACATACATATTTTCTTTAATTACATATGCTGTTTATTGTTAAATGTGCCTTCATTCAGAATTTTTCTTTTTAGCATTATGCACTTTAGCACAATGAGACTTCATATGATCCTTTGTTTTAAATGCTTTTTCACATACCTCACATATGAAAGGTCTATCATTTTGATGAGAACGAGTATGTACAGTAAGCTGGTACTTTGACTTGAAGCCTTTAGTACATATATCGCAGATATATGGTCTTTCTTTAGTGTGAATGCGAGTGTGCACAACAAGTTTACTCTTCGATACAAAAGCTTTATTACACACACTACACAGGTAGGGTTTTTCTCCAGTATGAATGCGGCAATGCATGAGAAAATCCTGTTTGGTTCTGAAGCATTTCTTACATACTTCACAAACATGTGGCTTTTCTCCAGTATGAATAAGAATATGTGCTTGAAGAGCTGGCTTAACTCTAAAGTTTTTATTACATATTGTACAATGAAAAGGTTTTTCTCCGGTATGAATGCGACAATGGACAGTCAAATTAGATCTTGTCACAAAAATTTTATTACACACATGACACATATGCTTTGCATCTTTATTATTAGGTATCTTACGAATGATCACCTTATCTTTATTATGAATTTGTTTATGTGAATTAAGTTTACTTCCTGATACAAAAGTTTTATAACATACATCACATTCAAAATTTTTTTCTCCAGTATGAGTAAGTAAATGAAGATGAAGATCACTCCTCCTGGCATAACGTTTATCGCATGCTGCACATTCATAAGGTTTCTCACCAGTGTGAACTCGAGCGTGTTTAGTAAGTTGGCTTTTTTCCTTGAAACCTTTATGACATACCATACAGACATGAAGGCGTTTCTCTACAAAATGAGAATTTACATGCTTCTCCATATTACGTTTTATCTTGAAAATTTTATTACATATTTCACAAGCATAAGTTATACCTTCTTTTTCATGAATAGGATAATGGGCATCAAGCTTGCATTTTGTTACAAAGCCTTTGTTGCATATTGTACATACAAAAGGCTTTTCACTCAGATGTATACGGTTGTGCACATCAAGTTGATATTTAGTTTTAAAACATTTCTGGCACACGTCACACTGATGAGGTTTTAGTCCTGTATGAATAATACTGTGCACCTTAAGAACACATTTTGTTGTAAAACCTCGATTACATATCTCGCATACATAAGGTCTTTCTCCTGTATGGATACGACAATGTACATTAAGTTTACTTTGTGTAGTAAAACGCTTATTGCATAAGTTACAGGCATAAGGTTTAGTTCCAGTATGATACATATGATGAAGGGCTAAATGATTTCTTCTTTTGAAAGTTTTATTACACAGCTCACACTGATAAGGTGCTCTTGCATTGTGATTAAGTTGGTGCACTTCTGAAAATTTTTCGGTTGTTTCTTCTTCTTCTTCCTGAACTTCGGAATGTTCTAAAAAATCAGACTCTTCACTTAAATGCTCTTCAGATGTATCACAATCATAACTTTTTAAATTATCAGGCACAATTAACTCACCGTCTGAACAGTTATTATCCATTTTCCTTTATCTAAAACTTCTAAATCGGGTGTTTCTAAAAATTCCCAGTAGTTAAAACAAATTTAAAAACTAGATAGCCGAATCTTCTTCGCTGTAAAAAACTGTTTTCAAAAGATTATAAATTTCTTCTTTTTATTGATCTATCAGCTGGTCGTTTGAGGTCTCTATACGGCGAAAAGCTCTCCAAATGTCACTGATTTCTAAAACTGGGAACAATTATATATAATTTCATTTACAATAGGAAAATTACTTTTACCTTGCGTTACAAAGCTATTTAATTACCTAAACTTATATAGAGGAAGATCACAGTTAAATATACAGACCTGATACAATTAACATTTCTGATTTTCGACTCTTGTTTGACTACTATGCACACTTACAAACACTATGACATATACTTCATTTTCTAAAGTAAATTTATCTAACTTACAGGATTAAACGTACATAACGCGAAATTTAATCTTCGCCGCATAGCTATACTACGCGTAGAATTCAACGCATCCCAGCCTTTTAGCCAGTTGGATAACACGAGCAATTCGCGTTCTTCTTCTGTCGCTTTGTGACGTATGGCTCCCTTTCAGCACCATACGCAGTGCTAAGGTTCCACTTTATGCAGTAGTTCTTGCACATAAAGATGATGCACTCTTTCCTGTGTGTTCTTCTGACGAACTTGATAAATAAATTCAGCGAACATAAATACTTAACATGCCGAACTTACATTGCTGTCCAAAACAACTTTTAGAAACTAATAATATTTCATGATCAGATTTGTTTCAATCTGATTTGCTTTTTCATCAAATGAGCAAAAGTCAAACGTAGCTGCCTCCATCCAATCTTAATAGTTTCTGAAATGCAAATAACAAACATTCGAAAGAATGTCAAGTAATAATGTTTCTCCGCAATTTCTTTGCTTAATTTCAAATGCACCAAATCCGAGGAGGAAAGGTCGCTCGCGTAACGAACTCCCGCCAGCGTATTTCCAAACCCTACCCCACTTTTCGAATTTTTGACGTCACGGAAATATCGACTAGTTTCACCTGGCAAGACGCCTACCCCACACTAGCGTCTACGGAGAGAAGGCAACTTTTGGGATCGTGATCTGATCCTCCTGTGCGCATCTCAATTTGCGCATATGCTGCCGTGCACTTCGTAAATTTTGTTTATTTACGTGAGTACTTTGTGGTTTTGAAATTTGCGTCATGTGTTGAGAAGATGAAATTGTATTACATCGTATTTGATCTACAGTGAAATACAGTTCAATTAATAAATCGGTGTTTGTTAAAAAAAAATTAATTTATGCTTGGAGATAAAAAAATAAAATTTTGCTAATGAAAGTTATTAAGTAGTGCACTTTTCATTAAAAAAGTTATTCTTTTAATACATTAACATTAAATTAATTATAACATTAAATAATAATGAATATTAATGATTGTTGTTAATTAAGCATGCCTATCTTTGTAAATTATTGCTAAACATGTGCAAATATGAGGAATATAAGTTATGTAGTTTATTTCTTAGCAGGTAATCACAGGACCATGATGGAGAGTGTCTATTATGTTCCTGAAATTTCTTTATTGCTTATACTAAGCTTATGCGTAAAGGCCTATTAAAACGGCTTATTTACGACACATATGAGCACATTCTGATGCATCAGCTATGTAATAAGTTGAGCATTTGGTGTTGACACTGGCATCTCAACAATGAATTAAACTATTGACATTTCATCAGCTGTACAAGAGCAATAAACTGCAATGTTTTTCCATATATATCCTGACTATATTGTATTTTAATTAAATCAGTAAGTCGTGCATGTTAGACAAATGCATTAAATTGTTATTACAATAGTGTGAAAACAAGAAAATTAAAGTCAATTTCTTGAAAAATCTGTTACTTTTTGGAAAAAATAAATACTTTAGACATTCATATTCATCATGTTATTCTCAATATATTTAAATGTCAACTAATAATACCTAAGTATTATTGTGAAATTATCATTTTAAAAGAGGTATATTATATTCAAGGACAAGGTGACAAAGAAAGTATAGAATTCTTTCTGTAACTAAACATGATTCACTACTCAGTACTAAAATAAGAGGTTTATCATCATGAATAACGTGTTTTTATGTACATCATCTACTGGATGGTTGCTGCCAATGAATCGACTGTATGTTGTAACAGCTGGAGAACAAGGTGCTCAGAATTGTCATGATGCTCTGTGTTTGGTCTAAAAAACTACATCAACCTGGATTTTAAAATGAAATTAATAGACATGAAGCTTAAATAGAAGTATCTAATTTTAAAAAAACTGTAAGAGCCTAGCTGCAGTTTACTTAATAATTCAGATATTCGTGATTTATCATGAGGAGCCTTTCAATGGCTAAGGATTGTGTAACGTAACATTAAAGTAGTAGACTACAGTTAGTAAATTTGTAACATTTTTATTGCTAGTTGTAAAGTTCATAGTTAAGATATTAGTAAAGACCACTTCAGGTTGAATGTTAGCTATGACATTCTACCTGAACTACCTACGGTACTTCGATCTTGCATGCATTTTCACTTACTGTCTCCAGAGGCGGTGTTTTGTTTACATCCAGAGCTCCTTGATAGTGCTTTTTCCACACATGACAGTTCCACACAAATCGAAAAGCGGGGACACTTCTAAATAAAAGAAACATTCAATTGTTGGATGGATAATAGTAATTTGTACAGTTTGGTGGCATTTATGTAAAAATTATGTCTTGGTTATTTTTCAATAACTTGCAACAGTGATTTTGATTATAAATTTGTTTTAGGAAATTCTAAGCTACGGATAACAAAAATATAGATTTAGCAAAATGTTCATGTTATGCGTAAAAAATGAAAAATACCTTAAGATCATTTAAAATGTCAAAATTTCGGAAAAATATACAACACTCTTTTAAACCTCAGTTTCCTTACATCTAAATAGTATTAAGTGTGAAAATTTGTATAATTTATATATTTTTAATTACTGTATAATGTATGCTTGTGAATTCAGATCAATTAGTTGTTTAACTGTTTAAAAAATGAAGCAATATTATGCAGAGTAAGGAATCAAGATTGTGATCCAATGACAATGAGATTAATGTTTAAATGTTGAAATGGAAAGTTGTTATTTATTATATTATCAGAGAATTATTAAACTGGGCATAATCGCAGGAGGTATTGAATGCTACGTGAAAATATGTTTACTAAAAATTTGAGTTTATAATGAATGTATCCAAACACATGTTTTGAGTCAAAAGTTTGAAACTTGATGGCTGAGTGTAATATAAAATTATGGATGTTTAAATATTTGTAATTAGGCACATAGGTCAGGTTAATCTTTTAAATAAGTAAGGAATGCAGAGCTATATGCCTAAAGGAAATATGCCTTCATGGAGGAATTTCAAGGCAAAACTGACGTTGAGTGCAATAAAAAATAATACATCTAATTTTCATTCAATTTATACATATTTCATATGTAAAAAAATTCTGATATATGCTACATTACTGTTAATTACTTTACTTGAAAAACATAGTAAATACACAGAAATTAAGATTTGCACATTTCGAAAAAAATATTAATATATGAGTATACATTATCCTTGTAAAAAGCATAAATACATAAATATTATTAAATTATTATAAATGTATTGGAAATGAAGGATTTATTCTTTCATAAACCCTGTTAACGTTATTGTGAAGAAATCTAGATTAAATATATTAAATTTATAATGATCATAAGTATTATCTAAATATATAATAACCTTAACATTTAATTGTAAACATAAATTGAAATTTTTGAGCGAGAATTTTTTAATTGCTATTTCAGCAAGTATTGTTCGTACTGGAAAGCAGTTAAAAGGTGCTGTAATGCACAATCTACAAGATGCGTACTTAATTTTATCTATCAAATGCCTGGCTATTGACCATTAAAGTGCAGAGCACACGTCCACATGAGCAGTGCCCATGACTTGTCCAGAATCGCACAAAGTACATAAAAGTGAGGTGAGGTACTTAAGGAATTAGAAAAAAATTTTTAGAATATGCATTGTTGAAATTAAGATATAAAAAATGTACAGTAAAACTTATCCGGAGGACTTCATTATTAAGGGGTTTTTAAAATAGATCTAAATTTAAATCTTAAGAGGGCATGCAGAAATTAGAATATGAACCATAATTTATTGTGACGCATGCGCAGAAATTAGCTTTGAGGTCCGGATATAAATTCCGGATTTGGACATATAACTTTACTGTAGTATCAAAAGAATTATTTCCCGACATTTTGTAATAAATCAGTTACGCGTTTTAAACAATATTAAAAATAAACTTTTTTAATCCCTTTCAAAAATACTCGTAGAAAGTTAAGTACATGGAAATCAGTAGGCAATATTAACGTATTTTACTATGGAAATAACAGCTGCTCTAATTTGAAATTAACCGAACTGACATTAATTATAAAGTAACTCTGATTTTAAAGGGATGCCTCAGAAGCTAAAAAATCATTCTCATTTGAGAAGGTATTTCAGAAGAAGCTCTGTAAATAGGAAAGAAATAATGCTAATTTTGATTTAGTATTATAATAAACTTTGATCTTAATTTTTGTAATCATTAACCAAATAAAATCAAATTAACTTAAAATTTCTTTGTATGTAATTAACAAGAACTTGTGAAAATATTTCATTCAAATTAAACTTTTTCTGGGAAAGTATAGCATTTTTCCGCTCAGAAAAAACATTGTTTTAAAATTTCTTTTTACATACTTATGACTTAAAGTATTACGAAAAAGAAAATATATATATTATATGTATATTTAGATGTAATTACAAATGTGTACTGCCGAATTATGTTAAAACCTATTGATCTTAATGGATAGTCACTGAATATTTTGGTCTCCACGAAAGGTGCACCACTGCTTCAGGGCAGTACACGGGGAAAACCAGTTAAGACCTCTCCTCTTATTTCTACTTCCATGATTTAAACTGAGGATTTTGGGTCTTTAGAGAGTGTTTCTGGCATCTGTGTTGGATTGTCAGATTCTTCCAGCTCTAGTAGAATTAAAAGTATCAGCTTTGTGTTCGCTTGCCATCGATACTTTAATCTGATGTACCAATAAATTAGTGGCTAGCTTAATAATTAACTGTGTAGTCTTAGAATACTGATCAACATTTTAAATTTATTTGATTGTTCGCATTTATTTACATCGCCACTAGCTGTGGTTATCTAAAGTTCGAGCCATGCTCTGTTTTGTTAAAAAATCAGTTTAAATAAAAAGGTTGATTTAAAATCTTTCATAAGGCTTTGTCATACTATCTCAAGTGATAATTATATTAGGGTTATAAGACTAAACTTCCATTATTAGACCAAGAAAACCTTATAACTTAATGGAAGTTTAAGATATTCATAATGACTAAATGTGTAAGTTTATTAAAAAGTAATAGAGGACAGAGCTTAAATTGCACCGGAGCCTGGCTCCGGTACTTCTTAGTTTTTGGAATAAATCATAAATATAGCCTAAATAGA